GGGACAGTGGGTCTCAAGGAGACACAGAGGAAGCAGGAAATCAGGATGGATAGTAAGTAGTACATAGATGAGGTAAATGAGCTTCAGGGCAGCACGAAGGTTAACGGAAATGAGCTAATTTAAGTTATAAGAGCTAGCTAAAAACAAGTCTAAGCAATGGGCCAAGCTTCCATACTTAGTAAGTTTTGTATGGTTATTTGGGAGATTGCTGGCAGGACAGAGAAACTCTTTACTGTGGTGCTTAAAACGTGGTCTGTAAGCAAGCAATGGTTGTCAAACTTTTTGTTACATATCTGGATGTAGTAAGCATTAAAGTTTGCAAAGATTTATGATGTTCTATTGAATCCTGTATTAGCCAATTGCTGGTTTGTCTCTATGTGTTTAAATTTCGTCTTTCAGTAATTCACTTTTGATCTTATTTTAATAATTTGTCCACAACAAACGGAAGGAAAGTAGGGTGTAAAACATCGATAATCTAAGGAACACTATTCCAGAATGCTGTGCAGTAACTGATAAGGTAAATAGAAGCCACCAGTAGTTCTTACCTTTGGTAAGTGCCTTGGTATTTTTTAAAAACAAAGACCCAAAGTGGTGCCACACTGGATTGCATATAGGTTAAGCAGTTTTTGCTTGTAGTGGGTCTCACCGAAAGCCCCACAGACATGTTGCCTCCCTCTGGAGTCAGACCATTGGTTTTATAGATCTTCCCCAGTGACTTCCTTATGGAGACTAACATTTGATTTTGTTCTTCCTTGTCCTTTTACACTCAGTTTGTCTTTCTGTGTGTTCCTTTTCTCCAGTCATAAACTCCAGTAGTTGTTTCTGGTCTCCACACAGTTGTTTAATCTCCATTGATTATCAAAAGCTTTTATTGTTTTGAGATTATAATAAAATGATTTGTCACTGAAAGGTGAAAAGGATAGAAATTTTAAACTTTGGTGCAAAAGATAGATTACATTAGGTAGTATCTCATAGTCAGATTAACTTGGGTTCCAATCATGGTTTTACAATTTAGCAGCTAGACACTCCAGGTAAACTTTCTTGAATTTTTTAAAAATTATTTTATGTGTATAAGTGTTCTGCCTGCATGTATGTATATGCACTGTATGTGTGCTTGGTGCCCACGGAGGTCAGAAGAGGTCATTGTATCTCCTGGAACTGGAGTTATGGATGGTCATGAGATACCATGCTGCTGGGACCCAAACCTAGGTCCTCTGAAAGAACAGCAAGTGCTTTTAACTGATGAACCATCTTTCCAAGACCAACACCCATAATTATCAGTTATTATTATTATTCTTTAGCTTCATTTCCCGGTATGTAAACCAGAAGCTTTACTGAACAGAGTAACTGTGAAGATTAAGTGACATAAAGTAGTAAGGGGTATCTTAGTTAGGGCTTTTATTGTCATGAAAAGACAACATGACCACGGCAATTCTTATAAATAAAACATTTAAGTGGGGTGGCTTACAGTTTCAGAAGTTTAGTCCATTATCATCATGATGCTGAGGACAGTAGTGTGCAGGCAGACGTGATGCTGGAGTATCTGAGAGTCTTACATCTTTCAGGCAAGGCAAAGTCAACTAAGAGTCACACTGAGGGAAGCTTGAATGAAATAGATTTCAAAGCCTACCCCCACAGTGTCATACTTTCTCTAACAAGGGCATACCTCCTAATAGTACCACTTCCTTTGGAGGTCATTTTCTTTCAGACCACCACAGGGGATAATAACTGTTCATAATAGATTCTCAAAAAACATTAGCATTCATCTTTCCCCATGCTCAATAAATAGACTTCAATTACTTTTCTTTAAAATTATCACTGTAAATGTTGGCAGAGACCCCATGAATAGAGTAAGAGTTTTCAATACATTAAAAGTTGTATGTCCACTAGTTTAAAAACTATATTTGGTAAACTCTTTGAAAATGTGGCTGAATCTTTCCAAGGTCAAGCACTCTTTACTCTGCTGAGATCTCTTTGCTCCAGTATGAATAATTTCCCCAGGCTTATAACAAGGCTCGTTCTTAATTTCCCTCCTTTGTATCAGTGCCATTCTTGAAAGGACCTCATGGCTCCCCTCCATACTCCATTCATCTTCAAAAACACTCAATATTTATATCATCCCAGGAATTGGCCCAAGGAAATCTGATCAACTTCCTTCACTTTGTAGAACTGTAGGTTCTTCCCGAGTGCTATACCAGTCCCTGCTTATTTTTCCCTTCTTAGTATGCTTTCCTGACTTTCCCTATATTTTTTTAGGATCCTTTTTTTCCTTTCAGATGAGACCCAACCATTCCCTTGCTTGTGTTTATAGTCAGAACAGCCAGGATGAGAAAGGTTGTCAGTTGTTCAAGACATTCCATGGCCAATTTCAAACAGGAAGATGGCCAGGTTGGTTTCTTGTTTGTTTCAGTTGTTAGATTTGTGCTATTATTTTATAACCCTCCATTACTTAGTGGGGAAATGGAATTTCTGCCTGACTGAGAACCAGGGGCACAAAGTTACAGAGAAAGCCCTAGAAGAAACAACAGCAGACAAGGGACAAGGGGTGTGATAAGAGATGAGAGAAAGACAGGCAGATTCGGGTAGAAAGGAAACCTGACATGCATACCCAGCCAATTGCATTCATTTCAGGAGGAAAAAGAAACCATTTGAACCACAACAGAACAGTTCTGCACAGCTTCTATTTTGTGCTTAATAAACAACACTGCTGTCACTGCCAATGAAAACAGCAACATAACTCTCCTTTTCTACCCACACTAACTCTAAACAATCTACTGGATTCGGGTCAAAATAGTAAACTGCTGGCATGTTAAAAATAAAAATTAAAAAAAAACAACAGAAAAACAAACCTGGCATTTTCCTTAAGGGTTGTGAGGGTAAGTGTAGGACAAGAGCCAGGGAGAGGAGTTGCTATAAAAATAACTGGTGCAAACATCCTTTAACTGATGTTTTCTATAAAAATCTCATGGCTGTGAATTGGAAGGAGTGAAGCTGTGAAGGGGAAAGGAGTGGGGAACCAAGTGGTGTCTGCTTATCGTCAGTCAGCTTTCATGTAAAAGTCATGGCAGGGTCAGCAACAAACTAGCCAGGTGGCAACTCCAGGCTATGCTGCCATAAATAACAGTTATGTACTAATGTCACACAACCAGAGCTAGATGTAAAGCATATGGGAAGGCAACATTCTGATGTAAAGATCTAGAAACTAGCAGTGCTTACTCAATTTAGGATCTACTGTTGATACTGGACTTTTGAAACCATTGAAAAAAATAAAGCAGTAAAACAGAGGAGGCGAGGAAGAGCCCTTGGTATATGATTTTTTTTTTTAAATTGGAGTATTTACTTAAAAAAAAATCCTGAACCTTAGGGTTCAGAAGAATGACTATTCCATGAAGTGATTAAGCGTTGTTGAGAGCCCACAACACCACATACCAATTTTCACTTGAATTCCACTCCTGCTATTTACTTGTTCTCATGACCTCTGGGAAGTTCCTTAACCTTTCATGCCTTTGTTCACTCTGTACAAAGGAAGGAGGGGGCCATAATGGGTATAGAACCTGCATCAAGGGAAGTTATGGGGATTAAGTGAGTCTTTACAAGGGAACCCACAAAGCACTATCTAGTAAATATACCATCTAGTTTACTTAACTTATTACTTACTTAACTTATTTTACATAGGCTATTTGCTGGATGATATGTAAGTAAATTTTTATTTGTACTATCTTATTATTTTATTGGCATAAGATCATGTACATAGTGCTGGATTTCACAAATATAAATTCTTTCATGTATATCTTATTCATGTTTCCCCAGTCTCATTACTTCTTTCTTTCTCCGCTTTCTTTCATGTGTATGTATATATGTATGCACACATAAATGCTTGTGTGTGTGTGTGTGTGTGTGTGTGTGTGTGTGTGTGGTGTGGTGTCTTTGTGAGGGTCTACAAATGAAAGGAAACAAAATATTTGTTTGAGTCATTTTTCCAGAAGATGACATTATTTTAATCTTTTTAACTGTGTTTGTAAGCCACACTTATTTAATTTTAAAACCTGTCTCGTGAATTCAAGTTTTTATAAGTAAAGGAACTGAGGTTTTGGTGGATTAAGGAATTTATCAAAGGGGTCTTATTTAAGCCAATGTTCCAACTTGTGCCTTTCAGCAAATGAAAGCTGCGATAAACCTTTTAAACGTGCTAAAACCTTAGCACATTTTCTTTCACTTGCTCAAAACGTTTAAATTTGAAGCCCCGTGTGGGCGCGCGCCCACACACACACACACACACACACACACACACACACACACACACACACACACACTCCATATGTCCATCCTAGAAACAAAGTTTTTTTTGTTTGTTTTAAGGAATTACAGGGGTTATTGTCTGATATACTGACTTAAGGGGCTGTGTTCCATCCACAGTAAATACTGAAAATAAAATATTAACTTAGCCTTTCATTTCTCTACACATTTGTCGGGCGCCCACTATTTTGGTGGCCAGAAAGAAGAATATACTTCTTAAGGTGTAGGGAGTGAAACTGACATTCTACTGCCAGTGGCTTTAAGATGCATGGTTTAAATCCACCACTAAAACAGCATTGCTTTCCATGAGAGCGGCTGAAGAACATTCCCAACACAAGCCAAACTGCAGGTTTGCAGAGATCCTTTGCACTGCTGAGCTTCCGCTCGCCAAATGGGACCTAGTTTCTTGTAGACCATCTGTTCAGGGCGAAAAGAACTGGGCGTGTCTGGAAACAAATTCAAATTCCGCGCCCAGGAGGAGGACTTCCGGGGCTCCAGCTCAAGGCTGGAGGGTCACCTGTGAGACCCGCACCCTGAACTGTGTGACAGGCCTCCCTGGTTTCTTGCAACTATCAGTGTGGCTTCCATGAGCATCTGTGTTCCATCTCAGACAGGAGACATTGAGGACACCTGCCCCTAAAAGACACAAAGGATCTTCCTCCCGCAGCCGCAACTTCCTGATTGCTTTGCCCTTACTTAAGATGGCGGCTGGTTGCCTTCGGCCCGGCTTACTGCGGCTGCTCAGTATACTCCGCTGGCGCAAAGAGGTCTGCAGCCGGCCTCTACAGCGGAGGTGAAGCCTGGGACGCGGCGTGTCTCCGCCCCGCCGTGCAGCAAGGGGGTGTGTTTGGGGGGTATAGAGAGTAGCTGAGGAGGAGGACCCAGGGTCGTGCTGTGCTCTGCCTTTCCCTCGCTTCCTGGCACCAAGGCTGCACGAGCCTAAGGGTGATTTTTTTTCTTTCCCCCCCTTGGGCCCAATATGATACTAACCAAAGCCCAGTACGAGGAGATAGCCCAGTGCCTAGTGTCTGTACCGCCCACCAGGCAGAGCCTGAGGAAGCTGAAGCAGAGGTTCCCCAGGTAAGTCCCCATCTCCACTCTCACAGCCTTTTGCCTTCAGTCCAGTTCCAGCTACCCTGGCAGTGCGTAGGAGCCACGTGTCACACGCAAATGGGAGAAACATAGTGACAGGGGTTAGGTCAAGGATCATGAGAAAGCTCTCTCCCTTTCATCTGCCTACCATACAGAACACTTAATGGCTGAAGATCCTGGAGCCTCTCCAGGCCTTGCAATTGAATTCAAGTCAACAGATGTTTATTGAAAACTTGATACTTTTTTTGGGGGAAGTACACATAGTAGGTGCTTAATAAATGTCTAGGGTGAATCCAGAGATACTAGCAGTGGATGATGGGTAATAGAGTCTTTGCAAAGTAAAAAGGTGAATTGGAGGTTCATCAGACTGGCTTTCTGCCTACTTTGCCTAGACACCTAGAGGTGGTAGATTAAACAGAGGACCCTTTCGTTTTGCCCAGGCCTAAAGGAGGCCTTGTGCTGTTGAATATGCAATGAAAAGATTCTCAGTATAGTCGAGGACATTGGTATCCTAGGGATTATGCTCTCAAGTCTGTCCATTTCGACCTCCATGTCTGAATGTCTCATTATGTGCATACATATTCCCCATGGGTTTCATACTTCTCTCTTTGCTTTGCTGTGGCTTTTAGGATTATCAGAGCTGCTAGGAAAGGCCTCTTAGAGATTATATAGCATAGAGTCCTTATCTCAAAAATGAGAAAACAGAACATGTCTTGAAGAAACCGTTCAAGACAACAAGGTTATCATAGTTAATACAATAGTTCGGAACATCTTGTACCTATTTTTTTCTAATTCAAAGCCATATTATGGTATTGAGCATAATTGCCCCTAATAGAGAGCTTTCCTATCTATAATGCATAGCCTTTGTCCACGTATCACCAGAGAGATTTCATTGAAAAATATGTTATTGGATACTAATGTCAATACAAATTAGAAGCATGTCTTTTATGACCTGATATTTGTTAGACTAAGTTTCCTAGTCTTTAAACAGAAAATTTCTCCTTCCAGTGTTTCCATACCTCAGTGTGATAGTTATCCCTTTATAGCTTGAGAATTTTTATTTCTTTTTTTGGCTTTTCAAGACAGGGTTTCTCTATGTAGCTTTGGAACATGGCCAGGTACTCGCTCTGTAGACTAGGTTGGCCTTGAACTCACAGAGATCCACCTGCCTCTGCCTGCTGTGTGCTGGGATTAAGGGCGTGTGCCACCACTGCCTGGCTTAGCTGGAGAATTTTTATCATAGTTCCTGTCCAAGAACACAGTTGACAAATTGGAATTTAATTATTGTCATTAACTTTTTTTAGTTCTGTCCATGAACACTCAAACAAGTGGTGGCTGATCACCCAAAGGAAAAGGTATAGGATATACATATAAATCATGTGTATATATATTATATAGCATATAATATGTATTATATTTATATTATATTTATACACACACACATACATGCATTGCTGGGCAGCTTTGGAGCCTTTTGATACTTTACTCTCATTATGTACATATATTACATATTACAACATATTACAACTTGGAGTTGTTTCTCTCCTTCCACCAAATGGGTTCTGGCAATCGAACTCTGATAGTCAGGCTTGGTGGCAAGTGCTTTTATCCACTAACCTGTCTCACCAGTTACCCTCCACCCCCCTTTTAGAATGCATTTGTGTGTGTGTCTTTGTATGGTTATATCTGTATTTACTAAAATATAAATTAAAGCTGCGAAATTAAAAAAAATATTACTAAATTGTTTTGAAAAATAGTAAGTATATTACTTGTTAATGTATTTTGTGTATAATAGCTATAATTCCAAAAAAGGTCTAAACAAATGACATGGTTGTATACTTCTGCAAATTTCTTTAGTGTCTGCCATAAATACAAGAATCTGCTTTTACTTCTACATTTAACGGGTTGTCATGTGTTGCTGATTAAAAGATAGCAAGAGGACTGGGGAGATGGCTCATTGAGTAAAGTGCTTGCTATACAAGCATGAGGACCTGACTTTGGATCCCCAGCATCTGTGGAAAAGCAGTGCAGCTCTATAGAGAAAATGCCTCCATTAGATTCTGTAGGTATTCTTATGGGGTATTTTCTTGATTAGTGATTGATGAGAGAGGGTTAAGCCCACTGGAGGCAGTGCCATCCCTAGACAGGTGGTCCTGCATGTGTAAGAAAGCAGACTGAGCAAGCCATGGAGAGCAAGCCAGTAAGCATTGTTCCATCACGGTCTCTGCTTTAGTTCCTGTCTCCACGTTCCTGCCCTGGCTTCCTCTCATGATGGCAACTGTAAGCTGAAATAAACCCCCTTTTCCCCAAGTTGCCTTTTCGGTCATGGTGGAGTTTTTTTTCACAGCAACAGGAAGAAAACTAACACGGAAATTGGTACCAAGTTCATGGGATACTGCTGACCATGTTGTATGGAGGAGGGATACAAAGGAAGCCCTAGCACTGAAGAGGTCCTGGAAAGAGACTGCCTCAAAAAACATGCAGAGCCATAAGGGAAGATATCTGATGTGGATCTGTGTGCATGGACAAGTGTACTCACAGACATGTGGCTGGCTGGTCATACACAGCTGTATACTACCATAGAAAAAGAAAGAATAAATGCCAAGAAATTTTGGACTCATATGTAGTTGCAAAAGAGAAGAGTAACTTAGTAGGCTTTTTAGATAACTGATAGTTTCTTGAAGGCTGAATGCAATGTGAAATATGAAACCCCATCAAATAAGCTGGGCGTTGGTGGTGCACGCCTTTAATTCCAGCACTCGGGAGGCAGAGGCAGGTGGATCTCTGTGAGTTCGAGGCCAGCGTGGTCTCCAGAGCGAGTGCCAGGATAGGCTCCAAAGCTACACAGAGAAACCCTGTCTCAAAAAACCAAAAAAAAAAAGAAACCCCATCAAAGACTTGTCACCTTCTTGCATTGTAACTT